GTTTCTAATATCCTCTGTATTACCCTTTTTAAACATAGGTTTAACTATTGATAATTTTAAAGAACTGGGAAAAATACCCTGTGTGAAAGATAAATTTATGAGATGGGTAAGGATACTTGCTAGTTGTTGTGAAGAGAATTTTAACACTTCTGTTGTTATTGAGTCATAACCTGCTGCTTTAGTATTATTAAGATTATTTATAGCTTTGAAAACTTCGTCACATGAACAAGGAGTTAGAAATAAGGATGGGTTTACAGAATGAACGTTTTGAAGATTAGTGCTAGGTTTCTTAATTGTTTTATTATTTATGTAATAGTTGTTAAATAAATTCGCTATTTCATTTGGATCAGATATCAATTGATTATTATCATTTAAGATTTTATTAGCAATTATAGGACTTCGATTCTGGTCTAGTTGGTCTTTTATAATATGCCAAGTTGCACGAGATTTATTTTTTGCGTTTTGTAGATACGCGAAATGTGTGTATTTTTTCGATGCTACAACGCATTTTTTGAGATAATTGTTATATTTTTTGTATGCTTGTTTATTTTCATTTGTTTTCGTTTTAAAATATTTAAAAGTAAGTTGTCTCTTACGCCTACTAGAGATTCTAAGCCCTGGTGTGATCCACTTGGGTGTTGTCATTTTATTGTTAACATTAACTTTAATAACTGGAAAGCAGAGATAAAAAAATAATGATAAATTGTCATGAAAAATTTGGAAAGCTTTATCGCAAGAGCTTTCTTCATATACCTCGCTCCAGGACAAATTTGAAAGGCATTCCCGAAACTTTTCCATGTTTTCAGAGCAGTAATCTCTTCTAAATATACACCACTTTAAGATAATTGGCTTTGTTTTTGTGACGGGAAACCTTAATATTTGGCACGTATCATGATCTGACATATATAAACGGAGTGTTTCGCCTTTAGCACCCTTAATATTACTCAATATATGGTCAATACAAGATAAATTTCTAGTCGGTTCATTAATAAAGTGTTTCAAGTTATAATTTGATAGAATGTCATTGTAATTCATAGTTATATTGTTTATCTTTAAAATGTCTATATTCATGTCACCACATAAAATAATTCTCTGTTTTTTATTTTTTAATTTATGCAAAAGGGTTTGAAATATATTAAAAAAGCTATATACGTCAGAATCGGGCGTTCTGTAAATACAAATTATTATGCATTGAATTGCGGGTATTATTGTGCCACAACATTCAAATGTTTTTTCTATTGATATGTCGTTGCAAAAGCTAAGCGGCGAGATATCGAGAGATTTATCTATGAAAATACATACCCCGCCACGCTTTTTATTTAGCCGACTAAACGATGAGGCTAACTTAAAATTCTTCAGATTCATGTTACTTTCATCGCCTCTTCTTACAAAAGTTTCAGAAAAACATAAAATTTTAGGAGTAGTATTTTTAGTGTACCTGATTTCGCTAAGATTTAGTTCAATAGAATCTAGTTTGCTAAGAAGTCCTGCTATATTTTGGTGTAATAAGTAAGAGCTGCTTATTAGGTCATTTCGTGAGGAACTTGAGTCTTCATTAAAAAATCTCTATTGTTTACATGTGAGTTCTGGCTAGGTCTTATCACGGGAAAATAATACGGTATGGTACCCTTTCTAGGAATGTCACCACGATTACATAGTTTTTTTACATTTTTTTCTTGAAAGTCAAAATTTTTTTGGTATAGTAATCATAGTCAAATATATAGTTTAACTTTTTACATATACTTGTAAGATATTGCCTTTTATAAGTACCACGTTCAATATCTAAATATGAACAATTTTTAGAACTATTACATATCATTTTCAACATATTATTAAGTAATTTTTCATTAAGAAATCTATTGGTACAGACATTTAATAAAAATTATTTTGCTGTTTTTGATAATTTTTAGTAAAGCGCATAGTTCTATAAATATTTGGTATGGATTGGTATCATTTTCACCTAGGCATAGTATCAGGTAATTTCCCACACAGTCCTCCAAACCGTCAACTGTACTTAAGAGATCACACGTTTTTGCATTGGGTTTAATGATGGAGTTAATTTCAAAGCGTCCGTATTGTGTATTAAATCTCGATCGTATAAGCTCCGAGGCAAGTCCTCGGCATTGTTGACTGCCTATTATATGTATCTTGAATTTTGTGTTAGGCAGTTGGTCAGCTATTGGATAGCTAGCGCCATCTCTCGAGGACGGTAAACATTCTTTAGGTTTTATAAAATTGCTCCTAGAATCAGCGTTAAGAACCTCCATCGAGGTTTCTAATAATTCCAAGTTGCCACAACTTGCATTTAATTTTTGTTTCTTCTTTATTTTCCTACCTTGTTTTTTCCTCTGTTTTTTGCTTCCTGACAATGTGTTGGGAGTAGAAATATTGTAAGGTGTAGAATATTTCTTTTTAAGATTATTTATGGTTTCTTTTTGTTTTGAAATTTCAATATTTTTCATGGAATTTTCAAGTGTTAGGTTTCCAATTCTTTGGTGCGCTAAATCCAATTCTGATTTTAATTGATTTATTTTCTCCAACAATTCGGAATATTCGTATACATTTCTTGTAGAAATGTCGGGTAAGCTTCTAACTTCATAACAGTCATAGTTCGATTGAGTTGAGGTAGATGAAATGTTAAGGGATTCAATGGATCTTCCCTTTTTTCTTCTTATTGTAACGTAGGCATCCTCCATTGTGAGAAAAAATAAAAAAAAATAAAAAATAAAAAATAATAGTAAAGACGAACAATTTTATAGCCGTCGTGATTTGAACCGGGACGTTTCAAGCTTTATGTTAATTTCTTGACAAGTAGATAACACAATTAGCCAACTGGACTATTACAAATATTGTGAAATTAAGCGATATATTTCAATTTGTATAGATTGCTTAGAAAATCCGTTACAATTCAATTGAAGTGGGTCACCTTGGAGAACAAAGGATTCACTTAACTTATACGTTTCTTCACTTTTATCATCGGTCACTAGTTTATAGCACTTTACTGGTAAGTTTGTCACATTATAAGTTTGTAGATTGAGTAAGAATTGTATTTCCAAGCAAAAATATAATTTTATATGAAATGTTAGGGGCAAAAATTTTTATTGTTATTATTGTCACTGTTTCATAAAAAAATACTTGTATAACATTACCACCACAAAGATAACTTTAAGAAACCTCACTGAGTTACTTTTTATTTGAAATAACGCGATTAAACTATTAGTAAACAATAAAATACACGGAGCTATTGTTTACACGCCAGCGCCACCACGATTGGAATCGTGGTGGCGATTTGGGGAAACTGTGCGGATATTAATACAATCTTCTTATTACAAAAAAGAGCTGTCCGCGCTATATATAACCTGGGTCCTAGAGTTTCTCTCCGAGAGAAATTCAAAGAGATAAACATTCTGACTGTAACTTCACAATATATTTTTGAAAATTTACTTTATGTTCACAAAAACGAACCTGATTTTGTCAAATTGTCTGAACAAAAATAATTTAACAGTTCATGCTACTCGCCTTCATAGAATAAGCAACTCGTTCATGGGTCAATGTATACGCTTTTACAATAAACTTCCTATGGATGTTCGTAAACTTCCCCTTAAGAAATTTAATTTTTTTATTAAATCAAAATTATTAACTAAAGGATATTACAGGATATCCGATTATTTAAATGATAGAAACGCCTGGGATTGAGCTGCTCGCTTATACAGCTATGGCTTGTGTTTTTTTAAGCTGTCTTTCACTTTTTTTTTTTTGCATGTTGTACATATTTACAATCAGACATGTCTTGTGCTTTTGCATATGCATTTTATTTTATTCTATTGACATGTTTGTGCTTAGTGCATATTCATTTTTTTACATTTTTTTTTCTCTACATTACTGACATGTTTTGTGCTTAGTGCATATTCATTTTTTCTTTTTCTACAATACTGACATGTTTTGTGCTTTTGCATACAATATTTTACACTTTGACATGCCAAGTGAATAATGTTTATATTACGATTATATTTTTCAATTTCATTATTTTTTCCTTGCTTTAAGGTACACCTTAAAAATACATTTTGTATCCATTGTAAGTGTAAACATTATGCGGGTATATCATAAACTCTTTTGCTTGATTTATAATTTGATACATTTTAGTATATAGTTATTTTGGGCTGGCGATCTGAGTGAGTTGTTGCCCCACATATTTTTATGGTGCCACTGGCGGTATTGCTGTGTACCGGGTTGTGCAGCTCCCTCAAAAATGGTTGAGCTGCATGAGCTATTCGGGGCATGCTTGCCGTCTGCTGGCACAGGCTTGCTCAGATCGATCTGGTTCTTTCTTCCAAAGACCAGTCCAGTAAATACTCTGCATTTGTTTACACCAATTTATTAATTTATTATTGTATTATCTGGACTATAAAAGAGACTAAGACCCCCGAGTTTGTTTCGACATTTCTTCTCAGGGCAGTCAGTTAGGAAATGTCGACTTCATCTAGTTTAGGATGACATTGTAAAAGTGATTTATATAGTCCTACTTGCAAGAATAAACTATTTCATTTCATTTCATTACAATTTAAAAGAAACATAGCACTACGATAATTATTGAAAGTACACTTTTTTTTTTATGTTTACTCTTAAACATAAATAAAATAAATGAGTGGCGCTACAACCTCTTTCGGTCTGAGCCTCAGATTTCTGAATCTGTTACATGATTACTTTTTCAATCTAATAGGCAAGTAGGTGATCAGTTTCCTGTGCCTGACACAAGCCGTCGACTTTTTGGGTCTAAGACTTGTCGGTTTCCTCACGTTGTTTTCCTTCAACTTTCGAGCGAATGTTAAATGCGCACATAGAAATAAAATCCATTGGTGCACAGCCTGGGATCGAACCTACGACCTCAATCATGAGAGCCACACGCTGAAGCCACTAGGCCAACACTGCAAAAAACACTCTCAAACATCACCCATGTTAAAATGAGGACAATAAATACTTATGAAAACATGTTATACAAATTACATGGGAACTTCTAGAAGGCGCAGCTCTAACCAGATCCAAGCATCAACCTCACAATCGAGTATCGCAATACCGCAGCACAACTTCGGGGAAGTTTTGTATCGAAGAAGTCGCTTGGGTTGGTAAACAAATAGCAACTAGGTGCGAATAAAAACAAAAGAAAACAATAATAATAGTAAATAAGAGGCCCAGACTTGATACAAATGATTGAACAATCTTATCAAACCAGTGACTACGAATTTATTACATCATATTTATTATGACTTTTTACATAATCCTTTTGTTTTGCGCTCAAATAAATACAGATAATAGTTTATTGTCTTTAGATAATAGACGCATGTTATCTGTAGTACTTGCAGTTTTTAACGATTCCTTAACCGAAATGATACTTATTCTGCGTTGTTTTTGTTGATCTGCCGTGCGATTCTGTAACTCACTTTTCAAACTCACACAGCGGTTTTCACAGGCGGTCGCGCTCAAATCAGTCGTAAAGCAGTCATTTTACGATTTGGCATTCTGATAAACAATAAATTACAAGCTCCCTCCTTATGAGAATCGCGATTCGAGTTACAGAATCGCAAGGCGTTCGGGATTTGGGTACATTTGCTTCCGGTACACAGACTATACACCTACTTGTCAACATACATTTAGTGAAACTGAGAAATGTGTTTCCTTATGTATATTTTAAAATTTTAATATACTTTAATATTAAACAAACATTGAATATCAAAAAAGTATTGGATTTGACATAGGAGAGCCATATCGCTAAGTTTTGACATTCAAAAATAAGACTTAGCACGAACTATGACCTTCCATATATCAAAATCCCTTACATACGCATTACGTTCATATTTGTATGCAGAAACGCTCAAGGTCATTTTATTTAACTGCTCATGTCACCATTTGCAATTAAAAATGCGGTTTATCCAAAGTGACTATAAGTATTTCGGATCTTTAAAGCCTACGTTATGTATAAATCAAATCTTTTATTAACGCTGTAATTAATGGAAGAAAAGTACCGATTATTAAATTATCATTCTTCACAGGCGGTAAAAATTCTGTCTGCAGTAAATTTATGTATTTGGGTACTTTCATTTGCAAATTAATATGTAAGTTGAGTTTATAATTATGATTAGATCTAGAAATGCATGGGTATTTGGTAATGTAATGTTTGGTTGTAAAACATGTTGTAAATGGTAGAAATTAAATTAAAACTGTAGGTTCCCTAAGTTGTCTTAAAGTAAAAAGTGTGAAAATAAATCACACGCCGCAGAAATGCTGTATGTACGTTAATTTTTTAAATGGGAAGAAGTAAGAATTTGTAAAGTAAAAATCGTCATATTTTCAAAATTTTTTGCATGTAAGTACAAATGTTAATAATGACTGGATTTTTCTACTACACATTTTAAATTTAAAAAAAAATTATAATTTGTACGGGCGTTCTCAACCGTTCGTAATCGGTTCAATTTTTTTCATCGACGAGAACACAGGACCCGGGACATTCGATGCTTTTTTTTCCGATTCTAACGCGGCTAAAAAGTTCACTTTAAAAACAATAGGTATTTTGTTTACTTACAGCAAATATGCTTTCGCTACGTTAACTTGGCCGCGACACAGCTTTGCCCGGACGTCGACCGTCTCACAATAACGTCTTCTAAACTCAGCCTAAATCTTACCATAAGTGTTGCCACTTTGGTGAGGAATCCTTTAACAACGCTTGCAGTCTCCGAGGGTCCCTCGAGGATCGCCATCTCGATCACACTTTGGTGATGTTCTAAATGCTCTTTTGAAGAACGAAATCTGATCATTGCCCTGACTGTGTGTTTAAGAATTGCCTTAGTTAAATAAATAGTGAGTGAAGCCTTGACAGTTAGCTTCTGCATTAGAATAGAAGTATGTTTATTGATTTCATTTACTATACTATACCAAATATTACTGTTGGCCAATCGGTATTGGTGATAGCGTAACAATGACTTTTATTGATTATAGTTTAAAGTGTGTAACAAAAATGTTTTCGCAAACAAATGATTCATCAACTAAAGGCTAATTCCAATCTTAACTAAAGTACTGTTTCTGTCCGTCGAAAGTGGTTTACACTGTGATAAAATAGAGATGGATGGGTATTTTTGTTCAAACGAGTTATTTTTTTAATAATGGCGAAAATTAATAGGTAATGTTATCTTAATTATCTAGAAGTTATTTCCGTTATGTTAAAAAGTTCACGGAGCTAATCGGAGCTCTTGTTTATGTTTTTTTTGTTTGTCAACTCTGTTTATTTGTTTGATAATATTACAAATATTTTATTAATTATATTTAAAATAAAGAAATTTTATCTTGCAATTGGCTAATTAAATTTAAAGTAACTCTAAAGTTTAATGATAAAAAGAACAATTATAATATAACGATTATTCTTAATATAAATTGCGTAAAATGTGACGCACATATGTTACAATACTATCTTATAATGTAACATACAAATATTTAACGACCTTGTCATCAATGTTAATTGCAGGTAATTTAAATATTTTATCACACTTGTATAATACAGAGCTGATTCAAAATAATTAAATAAATTCGAATTTAGAACCTTATTCGATAGTCTTTTGTTTTTGCTCGTTTCATTATTAATAATAAACAATGTAGCGGGGCCTACTACCCTATATGGGTCAAGACCCAGATATGTCATAGATTTTTGGGTCTGAGACATGTCGGTTCCCTCAGGATGTTAGCTGTCAAAGAATGCGCAAATGTTTACTGCGCACATCGAAATAGTCTCCTTCTCAACCCTGCTCAATACAAATTTGCTGTTATTCATGTTTAGAGAAGGAAAACATTTAATTATAACATCAGTAAACCCGGCTTCTAGTTTTAAAATAATTTAATTCTTAAAGTGAGATTGCTGCTGTTCTATCAACATTCTTAAGTCATTATCAACAGGTCTTAAAGAAAAAAATAAAATGCGTTTTAATTAAATCAAAATGCAAATTTAGTCGCTACTATAAAAAATTCCAATGCCTTGCTAGGGACGCATAATCTTACAGTTAAAATACTCTCGCTATTTAAAATCAAACCATTTTAAATTATTTATTAACGAATAACAGTTTAAACATACAATTCAAATATGTAACAAATAATTATAAACTAGCTATTTACATATATTATATATCACATTTTATACAACCAGTTTTCTTCTCTCTAAATTAGGAAGGTCGTCGTCGCTGCTTCCTAATTACCTTTATTATATTATTTCATTTAAAATTTTCTTAGTAAGAAGTATAAGTTGTTATATAAGTTTTATTATATATAGCAGTAGATAGGCAATAAGTTTAACCAATCTATCAAATATCTCAAGGAATTTTATTAGAGTTGTAGATACCAGGATTTGTCTTTAATAGCATTTAGTCCTCGTGGTGGTCCTTAGAGTTGAATGGATAGACGCGTGCCTGAAGTCCATTCATACAATCTTCTGGAACTTACTTACGCCCGAACCCAATAACCTATCTCAATCGATAATCCACCATCTGAGATAGTAATCTTAATCCAAATGTTGTAAAAGTGTGCCAATAACCAATCGACGGATTGTAATAGCCTTCTGTCCTTCTGTATATTTTAAATAATTAAAAAAACTGTTTGTTATGTTTTAAACTTACACATGTATATTTTAATGTTATTTGTACGGTTTTATTTAGTTTACATTGATTATCAAATATGAGTGAAAACTCTGTAAAATGGAACGACAAAGAGCATTTTATTCGTTGCTAAAAATGGATTGGCTTCGTAGGGTTTGGTTATTGGGATGCAGATAGGAGATCGATCGACTGTCACGGTCTGATCTCAGATTGTATTAAATCTGAGATTATGGATTAATTATTGGGTTTGGGCGTTAAAGAAAATGTTCCTATCGCCACCTTTAAGTAAGGCTGGTACTATTGATAGCTACGTGATCCATAATGGATTCAATGGCTACTAAACTGTTATGTTATGTACAATACTTTCTTACTTACATTTCTATATGTAGTTTCTCAATTCAATAAATGTATGTATTGTCGTACTTTAACTTTCGATTAAAGTCTCAGCAACTTTCCTAGAACTGGAGACAGTACTATAAAGATGGAAGAAGAGATACAAGAGCAGTCCAACGCAGACAATGAAGAAGAGAATACAGAAGCAGACGATACACTCGGAGACGTAGATTCGTATCCGATCAGTCCGAGAGACACGATGTCCGGGGATGTCCACGCTTGAGTATGTCCACATGATTTTACGATTGACTGAAAACAATCACTGAACAGTTACTTCTTAGAACGAAACTAATCAGAACACTTAAGAGTTTACAGAACAATCAAGGGTTATTTTCTCTATGTGAATTTTTTAGTCTAATCGGTCACTCGACATTCTGGGGTGGGCACTAGACCATACTGGGGTGGGATGGGAACACCCGCACCCCCTTTATTTACGCAGACACGTATGCCTATACACTGTACCATTTAATTATTTATTTTGGCTGACAAATAATATTAAACTTATAAGTATTTTAACTAGTTTAAAATACACACTCAAAAATGAAGTTTTAAGACACGTGGTCGTTACCCCTTTAGATTCGCTTATAGTACAAATATGAAAGTTAATAAAAGGTTTTTATTGCCGAGGAATAATAAAAAAGTGTAATAATCACTTTCACAGCTATTCTGGTGTTAATATCAATATAATTCTAGCGATTTGAGGAAAATGAGCCCATAAAACCAAAGACAATGAAAGTAATTTGGTAACACTAAATACTTGTAATAGTACTCTGTCTACGTACTTTAAAATGCTAATAGCAGTTTATGTTTTATGCCTATCACTCTCGTATCAATTCGTAAATAAAGAAACCAAAATATATTTATCTAACGAGAATTGCATGTATATTTCTGAATAAGAATTATTCTATGAACTAGAATAGAAACATTAATTCAAGGTCTTATTAATTTTAATTTATATAATTATTCTTTAATAATAAAGTCATAAATATTTTAGTATTAACTCACCATTGTCCGATTCGATTGCATACACTACATCATATAGTTAATTTAACTCATTATTTTTCCAGTCACGATTTTTCCGGTACTGAACGCCGCGTGCGCTCACCGCCAACTGATGTGTATGACTTTGATAAGAGTTATGACGGAATTATTTTATTTATGTCTGAACAGTGATCTTGTTTATACGCGATTTTGTCTACGTAGTAGTACTGATATCATGGTTTTTTGAAGTCATAGACATCGCTACCAAGGAACTTCACGTCTGATCTCTTTGATAGGGTCTGATATAAATAATATGTATGCATTAGAAAAATATCTGTGTCAGGGTTCCCAGCTCTTCCATAGGAAAGTTATTTTGTTTATATACGTTTATTTCTGTATTAAAATACATCTACATTATACTGTTAACTACGTGTAAGTTACAATTCTATGATTAATTTGATTACAGACTACAGTGAATAAGTATACATTTTTTATAATAATACTCCCTGTTCCCTGCCACGCTTCGCTGTAGCACATTGTAATTGAATGGTTGAGAAATTAGAAACAAAACAAAGAATACATTTCATATATGTTTAATTTTGCAATACTTGAGGAAAAAAAAAAAAAGATAGATGATCATGCTAAAATTTCAGCTCGATCGGTGGAGAACTTTTTGAGATTTTGAAGCGTACACAAACCAACATAACATTTTTATATATATATATAGATTTGTACACTTTTAAAAAACAGAAAACAATCTCTCTTCAAAACGAGCTGCTGCAAGTCAAGCGTAGTTATTAAAGGTAAACAAGTGTTTCCTCCAACTTCGAAATTGTTACTTTTAGAGTAGAAACTCTTGAAGTACGAGATAGATGCGAACGAAGATTAAAAACTAGACTGTATTGGAGAATTCAGAATCAGTGATTTTGGCGCATACAGCGCCGCAATACAGCGGGTAAATGCTAGAATTAAAGGTACTCTACCACGGGGACCACTTTTTAGTGTTATAGTTGGGAGTTGCTATAATTGTATACGGTAAATGAATATAATAAACTAGTGGACCCCACAGACGTTGTCCTGCATGATATTTAAAGCGATTAGGATATTAAGCAAAGTATGAAAGTACCGACTGCAGTGCCATCTGCCGGGCTGATTTGTGAATCTAAACCATTCCCAGATCCCCTTGAACAGACACAAAAAATTTCATCAAAATCGGTCCAGTCGTTTGAGAGAAGTTCAGTGACATACACACTCACAGAAGAATTATATATATAAAGATAACGTATTTATATTGGTAGATGTATTTAATAAGTATTAGTAGTTGTAAGTAATTATTTGATAAGCAATATCAAAATAATTTCAGTGTTACAAAGTGTGTCACATTTGTACATTTGGTTTTATTAATTTGACATATCTCTCTGTGGCATAGTTCCTAAAAAAAGGAATGGGCGTAATATGATGCGGCTTCTTAAGATATGTGTGTCCTAACATTTTGAATTCGCATGTGTATAGGTAAACATATTTTACTTCATCTTAAGTTAACATTGAACCCATGGCTTGGCCTAAACATTCTTAGTGCTCAACTTGCCCCATACCCTTGCTCAACTTACCTCACCCATTGAGCATACTTGACTTTCTGCATTTAAACATCTGTAGCTATTATACTGGACTTGTTACAAAAAATACTATATACACTTCTGTTAAGGGATAAATTTCTAATCCATCAGGACGTATAACAGCTCATTGAGACTTATCATTGAGGAGCTATATCCAATCAAATGAAAAATTGCTCAACTAGCCCCGCC